AGAGAGAGAGAGAGAGAAAGAGAGATTGTTAATTTTTAACAGGATTCTGTTAAATAAAACAGAATGAATAGATGTTGATTCTTCTAATTCTAAAATCGAAAATCTAATCCTGAATAAATATCCGTTTTTGAAAACAAACTATTTCTATATTTAAATTTAGCAAATGTTTGCGCGAAAATTGGTAACTTGATTAATGTAATATTACAAATGTCTTCTAAAACGATACACAATAGCGACACATATTTTTTCTATGATGATAAATAATATTTTTGAATATATTTGAAGGAAGCGAATCTGGGGAATGCGCAACACAGAGCATCGCTGGCGTTACAAATAGCACAATACTTGTGCTCCTTCGACGGTGAGAAGACTGAAGACGCGATCGAAAGCGGGGACACCGATGAAAAATCTATGAAAAAAGCAGTCGAGGTTATTCGAGAATTCGCACAGCCTGTTGACGTCGAGGAGAAGGAACACAACGGTATTGTGTATTATTGAATGTGCAGTGACTCGCGTAATTTTTCGTTTCATAACATATTTTCTTATCGAATCTCATATTGCTATCAACAATAACGTTAACAATAAAAATAAAAAATCTAATAGTAATACAAAACATATAATTAGATAGTCTAAATTTGTACTGTATTTTTCAACAAAGTGTTAATTACACAATCCTGCTTCAAAAAGATTCATTAGATTAAATTTAGGACAATTATTTTATTATTTTCACATCATCTTTATTACCGAATCGTGATGTAATTTTTCTTACGTTCATTCGTATTCCCTCGCAAATGTGTCGAGCTTCGTAAATAATTGAAACATGGCCAAATTCGTCGTGAAAGCTAAGTTTGCAAACAACCGAGATGTGGTAAGTCAGTGTGATGCGTAACTTTTGTTGCAGAACTGAAGATGATATTCGAGCGGCAGAACAACCTACGGCCCATATTCAGCGCCCTGTTCCGGATGAACCGCCGCGAACGTCAACACGCCAGTCCCCTGCGGCGACTGTTGGCGGAAGCCGGGATCGTGTACTCGGAGCTACAGGTGAGTGTGTCTACGCATGATTAATTACGTACTAATAACCTGGCCAGTTTACCATGCCACATGACGTCAAGCGGGATGTTTTCCGTCTTTTTTCTCTCGGCCTCGGTTTGATTCGCCACCAAAGATATCATTTGGAGAAGAAGCGACACTCACTCGGTGTAAAAAATAAAAACAAGTTCCGAATTGACAGATCGCGAAACAGTCGTTGAAATTCACGTCACGCTCGACTCGGAAGATTCGATTTGCGATCGAGAACGAACTTTTAATGATCACGCGCGTTTGTTCAGGACGCGTGGACCAACGCGAAGAAGGACGGGCTGGAACATCTGATGAAGGAGAAGCTGCCGGCGGTCGAGGAGAAGAAGGTGGAGGATCTGATGATCATCCTCGAGCGCCACTTCGACCCGGAGAAGAAGCCGAGGAGCAAGACGCCGGAGAAGAAGGGGCTGAAGTCGAGGAACGAGAAAAAGATAAGCGACGACAAGGAGAATAACAACAAGAGCGACTCGGGCCACGACAGCCTCGACAGCCCGGATACCACGACATCCGGGTCCCCGGTCAAGCTGAACGACGACGACATCGAGATCAAGACGGAGGCGTGCGCCGCCCTGACGCAGGAGAGCGCCGAGCGCGTCACCGTTTAAGCGATGCCGCCGCGACGCACTGCTTCTCGACACCTCCTCTCTTTTACGCGCCGCAAAAGCGGGGAGTACCTCGCGGCCGCGTCCCCCCCTGTCGCTCGTCGACGGTCGACCCCCCCCCCTCCCCTGGCTGGCCGGCGGACGGGCGAACGTGGATTCTTTTTTTGTTGCCATAACGGTCGCGGATGACGAAAAAATAGAAATTGATAAGTAACGCGGACGAGCGTGGATTCAGCGTGTCGAATACAGCTCGCGATTTAGCCGGACTCTGCTGCAGCAAGAGCGCGCTGTGTGCTCGTTAGAATCACCGCTAAATCCGTGCTCCTCAGCCCGCGAGGGGATCCCCCGTTTTTTTTTCTCTCCTTTTGCGGCAATTCTAGGATAAAAAACGTATTTAGAATTAAGGTCTAACGATTCGTCCGACGGGCGATGTTGTGCGTGATCAGAGACGAGTGTTATTTGTTACAGTATTGCAATTTTTTCTTTTCTCCCCTCCCCCCCTCTTTAATTTCTTTTAATTTTTTTTTAATTTTTGTTCGCACTGGTACGCCGGCATGATTAAAAGAAAAACCTAAGGACAGGTTTTCTGCGAGACACGCCGTCGAACTTAGCTCAAATGTACAAATAACACGTTAAGCGATGTTTAAGTTTGTTACGCGCAGAGATATTTAATATCGTTACGTTTCATAATTTTATACACGTTTGTTTTCTCTCCTCCCCCCCCCCACCACCCCGCTCTCAATTCTACCCCTGTTTTCCTTCTTTTATTTATCCCAAGGATATTCGTACGCTCGCTAACTGTGGCGAGAGCGTCCGTTCAAATAGACTGCTGCAAGTGTGAAAGGTATAGGAAGTATCGCGGGTCCGCGTAAGTTACCGCATAAGTTCACGATGTGTACAGTACGATGTGCACGATATTTTCTACTTTTTACCGTTTAAGCCGCGCATGAGGCGCATGTGTGTGGTAGTATTAGAGAGATATATTTTTGTATTGATAGATGATATAAATTTTTGTTTCTGCTGTGAGATCTCATTGTATGAACATTTGAACAATAAAGATTCTAGTTTAGTTTAGTAACGCGCAGGCTTTAAATATTTATATAAGCGCATAAACTCGCGAACAGTTTGCATCGTCGTGTTGTGCGAGAGAAACACGAGGGAAACAGGGAATTTGCGAAATTAGAATAAATTAAACCTTCACTCCGTCCGTATTTCGTGCCTTTGGCTTTGGTGTCGAGCCTGTGGACCGAAGCCGATTTGATTTTGAGATTTATTTATTTTATATGAAAAAAAACAACCGTATATAAATTCGCTGATGTACTGCATATATGTATTATTTTCTAGTTGAGAATCAAACGGTCGCGCGTATAAATAGAGCATGCACACGCGGGCACATCTGGTGGCGTTAAATGTATAAGCGGAGCGTTTTCGCAATTTCGTTTAATTAGACCGTAACGCACTTGGAAACGATCAATGATAATTAGCATTAAAAATCGAGAACCTCGCGACGCGCGATATAAATCTCGGGCTCGGGGCGAAGAAATGGGTTTCAGGGGCTCGTCCGGGAGGAGAGTTCGCCCCGGCGAGGAAGATTACACCTGGTGCCTACCTGCATAATGTCGGACGTGATTTATCTCCAACGGCGGAGCACGACGTGGCGCTTTTATTAATTGCGACGAGCGCGCGCCACGGCGCGTGAATCGCGCGCGCATGCAGGGGCGCTTGGCAAATACGCGCCGGCCGGGGCTGCCGCGCGGACGCTTTAAACGCGCGCGGCTCGGTAAAGTTCTTAATAAGCAAAAAAGTCGCCGGTTTAACGGGACTTAGCCGCAGGGGAGAAGAACGAGGGGGCGGGAATGGAAAATGGTCGCGCGGGCGCGCTTTTCCGCGTGCCTCACGGCGCGGGCCCTCTCCTCCCCCCCCCCCTCGCGTCCCTTCTCAACCGCTCCTCCCGCGGGTCGATCCCGGGAGAGAAAGCGGAAATGAATTAAATATGTGTGCGGACCGTTGCGCGCATCCGCCACGCGGATTTCCAATGCTGCTGCAGTATGCCAAAACGCCCCGAGGCGTGAACGGCGAAGCTCCCCGCCGCGGCGAGGAGAATTGAAGAAACACTCGTTTTCCCGGTATAAATGCTGCACGCGCGCGCAATTCTTCCGCGGTCCTTCTCCTTCTGGGGCGACGGGCACGGCGGCGGGATCTGATCTGATCCGCGCGATGCGCTCGGCTAGAAAATTGGGTTTTTCCACATGCAGCGATTAGACGGGGTACCGTCCTGTAACTTCGCGCGGCTTTCCTCCTCCCCGGCTTCCCTCCCCTCGATGTATGTTCCTCGTTGTGGAATACGTATAACTGCGCGCTTGGAAAAAAAAAAAAAAAAAAAAAACAGATCCCTCATGTACAGGAAGACCGATTTTAATTCCCATGTTCGAGCGTCGAAGATACCTCGATCCAGCAGCGTAAAAACAGAGATTTTACGACGTAAAGATTGGATGGCAATTTGTGTGATGCGAAAAGCCGATTCTCCTTAAATTATCGTAGCTATGTGAAAAGTTAATTTTTCAAGGAGGAAATCGGTTTTTTTTTTTAAATTCGGGAGACGTACGTGGTGAATATTGTGCCACGTCTATATATATAAAATTTGAACTGAAATTGCAGTCCAGAATAAAAATGTGTTGCTCCGTAAATCAGAACGCAATATCTAAATTTTGTGGAAAAGAGAGCAGATATATCTATACACGTATATAATGCTTTCAGATAACGTGAGTTTTCTAGTCAGAAATAATATATGTTTCCGCGCGCGCGCGCGCTTGGAAAATAAGTTGCCTGGATAAGGGATGAAAAAAAGCACATATTTCAAATTGTGCGCTTTTAAAAATTTAATATCACCCTTGGTGTTCAGTAGTGATGCTATACGTTTGAATTACTTTTTTCATGTGAAAGATTTTTAGATAATTTGCATGACATCCCGAGGAATAAAGAAACGACGAGATACTGCTGACGATTGTTTCAGAGCAGCGATATATTTTCACTAGGAAAGCATACACTCCGAAACGGTGGTCCGCTGATTCTGCTGCCAGCAGGATGCCATCCTGTGGACGGAAGCTCTCTCAAGAAGGAGCTCTGTCACATCCACCGGAAATCAGCGGTGGCTCGGCGAAGCGTGAAATGTCGACTTTTATCATCGCCCTTCGATGGCTGAGCGAACCCGTTCAGTAATGATATAATGGTGGTAGACGGGAGCATTTCCAGGAACCAGGGACGAAGCGCAACACATGGAATTCACGGAGAATCCCGTATTATAGCAGTTCCGTAAATCATATGTTGCATTTAAGCCATAGTGGTACTACAAACGGCGAATAAATTTTCTTCAACCTTACTCCGTACCTTTATACAGTAGTTACATTATTACGCGCTGTACGTAATATAATAGAAAATTAATAGCGGCGAACAGTTAAAATAATTATTAATTCTATAAATTATTGTTATTATTAATTTATCTACAAATCACATTTGCAATTTGTTTTTATTTTATTAGACTTATCTTTATATTATCATTATTATTATATTATTAGATATTAATATTGAAAATAAAAAGAAGCGGATGATATATGAGAGAGAAAGAGAGAGAGAGAGAGAGAGAGAGAGAGAGAGAGAAAGGCGATAGCAAGTTAAAAATGCTACAGATCCCTATGTAGATAATGAGAACGCTTTAAAATTGTGCTGCGCGACTGAAAATGAAGAGAAAAAGAAAATTGAAATCGGATACGAATGGCAGGAGTAAATGTGAAAGTCTTCGTCGAAACGAAGCAAATTACGAAGACATGTGAAGATACATATACACACATTTTTTTGTACATTTCTCGGCTGCTCGGATTTGTCTATTAATTTTCCTTTCAATCAGCGGCCATTTCTCCTACATACGTTTTTTTAACCATGCGATAAATAATGTCGTGAACACTAGACTTTTCGTGGATTTTTAATTTCGCTTATCTTTAGAAAGTTTTCTCTCTAAATGTAAAAAATTTAGCGAAATAAAATTACAATTCCCGCGTGCAGCTCACAAAGGCGCTTTTGTGCCTTTTAAATCTCTCGATCCGTGAACTGTATGGAATGTCGAATGAAAATAAAAAGCATCTCCGGCGGCCGAAGTCGAGGCTCGCGGACGTAAAGCGGATGTGAATTTCGGGCGATTAATCTCGGACGTGATTACGATCACATAATTTCGCTATTGCTCCGGCCGGCCGGGGTGATTATCGACATGCACGTTAACGTTAATTAGAGGGTTTTAGGATTAACGCATTGATATTAATAATTGAATCTACGAGGATTTCCGCGGGAGCATCGCGGAATTAGCGAAAACCTGCACATTAACATGTGTTACACGCAAGAGCGGATCATTAGTAACGCGACAGCGTCTATATGCCGCGCGTTATCTCATTTAACGATGATGCTAATAATGGAATTATATTATATCGCGCGATGATGCGCGGCACGAAAAGAGGTTCGACAAAAAGAAAAAAAAAATAACCGAGCGAGATTCCCGCTCTGCCATGCGGACCGCGCATAATATAACCGATAAAGGTAATTAGCATACTACTGTTTTTCTTACGCTCATTTACTCGGCGTCATTATTGCGCAATGCTTACGAAGCCCGCCTTCCCTCGTAATTTTGCACGCACTCGTGTGCAATTGTGCAGTCTAGGATGCAAATTTCCTTTAGAGAAAATTATATCGCGCGCCCGCAATTACACACGTATACTGGGTGTCTTCGGCGAACGCTAATCGGCGGTTGTAACCGCGACCGCCTTGGCTCTCTTATTTAACGTTAGAAATAAACGAACCGCCAAAGGCATAGTATTTCCCCGTTATTACATTAATTTAACAATTGAGAAAATGTTGGGGGAGGCTGAGAAAGAGGTATGGCGCACGGGCGGGAACGTTACTTTTTTAAAAAGAATGCCTCTGTCTTCCCATACAAAGTAACTTATATGACTGCAGCGTTAACAATTAGGATTGCAATGGGCTTTCAAGTATATTGTCCAAGATCAAATATTATTAGGAGTGTGATTTAGTTTTAAGGATTTTGCAAGATAATGGCATTAACATCGGTGTTGTCGAAGACATTCCAATCACAGCTATTGTTTCTTAATGTTTTAATATTACTTCATGATATTTAATCATTATCATTTACTAATAATAAACGCAGTAAACATCGTGTTTAAATCATCTTAAAAATGGAGCTTCGTAAACAGCATTTTTGTCCTCATGTTGCATTATTAGTGAAACAAACGCTTTAGAGCTGAAATGGGAAGTCTTACCGCACCCCGCTGATTACCTTTTGCTCCGATCGATGCAACATATATGCTCTAGAGGATACGCACTTTCATAATTTCGAAAAAATGCGGAAATTTGAGAAAATTGGATCAACTTCGAAGAAAAATCTTTTTATCGTCGCGAAATCCATCTCTTGTCAAAAAAAGTTGTAGAAAACGAAAAGAAATATTTTGATTAAAGTCATTAAGGTATTTGTATAATAAATCAATTTTTGAGAAAAAAATCCTTCAAAACTAAATCACACTCCTAATATATATTTCAAATCCAGTTGTTAGATATAGAATCTTATATAATTTTCATTTAAAATTATTGATCAGGAAGTTATCGTGTATCATCGGCTTCCAGTTTACTTCCCCGTGTGATTTTCGGGGATAATTTGGAGAGAAACGCAATAAGCGTACGTCCAAGTGTCCGGATACACCGACGCGTTTGCCGATACCGCGATAACGTCCCTATACCGGGCTTAATCCGCTCGCGTGCGGACGCGATTATCGGGCGCGATCGCCCTTCATCCTGTCTAATTTCTTTTCGCGAACGGCCGAGCGTGGCGAGCAAAATAGCCGCGGCTCGTATCGCGATCGGCCGCTGTAACAGGCGGCGCGAAGGAAATTGCCGCGTCCGAGGGCTGCCTTAATTGATAATAACGCGCAGCGCGCCGAAGCTATCGGGATAATTAATGACACGCTGGCTAACCGCCGCCACGCGGCCGTGTATCCCCGCTTCGTTCACCTCGCTCCAACA